GTCTCCTCACTAGAAGTGGAATAGTGGAAGTCCAGAAAGGACTTTTCAGGACACCCCAGAGCTACATAAGAAAGGAACAGTGGTGGTTTGCACCAACAAAAATAGGGCTTCACACGCTCTAGTATCACTAATGCAACACCCTCTTTGGACCAGGGCTTCTGAAGTGAGACTCTGATGGTTCTCAAATATTTGCAGGTGCTCAATCAGAACTGCTGACCGTGAAACTATAGCGCAAGGGAAAATAACACTGAGGATACAATTGGGTACCTGTAAGACTGGAGGAGAACAGTCATTTAGTCCCTTGCTCTGGGTGCTTATCATATCCCAGAGAAACAACATCATGGACTACATCTGCCATCTCAGTATGAGATCTAGCTACACAGCAGTAAAAAAGAACAAAATATTGACATTTCACAGGGAAGGACAGAGATAAAAATCAAAATAATTGGTATAAAATAGCATCTAGGAGAAAAAAAAAACAAAGAGAAAACTGCTTCAATGACTTTGGTTTTGAAATGAAAACAAGCAAATGGATATATTTAATCTTTTGTTATAAAAGAGAAAAATTATGCATAAGACTTTTCCCCCTGTAAACACGTTCAATAAAAGTGGATAAAATCCCAGACCCCATATCCTCAGTAAGGGAGGCGATTTGATGATTTGACTGAATTTTTGCTCTTCTCCAGTCCTCCAATTCTTCTGTGTCATACAAACCTCAGATTCGAATTTGTGCAACTTGAAAAGTCACACAGCCGCGTCCCTGCCTGAAGGCTATCTCAGCTACGGAGGGCTGCAAGCCGAAGATGCAATAGCTACGTGTGTGTTGTCCTCCTGGAAAAGAAGCTCCCACAGAGGCACCGCAGCCGACGATCTATCAATTAATCTCTCTTTGTAGACAAAGTTTCAAGTGTGAAGGTGACAATTATTGAGTCATTCCTCTCAGGGCTGAAAACCCTAGTTTGATTATGGCATAATTAAGTTTCCTCTTCACAAACACAGAAAGAGAACAAGCAAAACAGCAGAAGCGAAGCAAAAAAACATGCATGCTACTGCAAAGCTTTTTTAACATGCAGTTACAAATTTCTGTGCCATTTTATAGCTGTCAAGTCTTAATTAAAATACTACATTTCTCTGACTCATGGTGCTGTAGGATGCATGTATATTATTCACATGAATATTAATCTCTACGCAGGTAGGAGGCTGAATAGCTCAAGGGATTTATAATCACATCACATATGGAAACTTCTTGGGTGTCTTTTTTTTTTCTTTTCTTTCTTTCAAATTTCAACCAGGTCATTAACAATGAAAAGTCATAAGAACCATTTCAGTAGCCTATGTGAGAGGAATCTAGCAGTTTGGATCCGTCAGCTGGAGCTCCATGTGTATTAATGAAATTATATTGAAGATTGAGGAAGGGGAACACAGATAAGAGCTGGAGGCATTGCTTTGAACATTAAGTACATAAGTAGCTGCTCTAAGTGCTGGAAAAAACAGAGAAGGATAGACCTCTTGAAAGATTCTAGGTAATGATAGAAGATGTGAAGATGTTAATAAAATGATCAGAGAAATAAGACATGACCTTTCCTACCTACCATCAGAATTGCCTGGTTGAACCATCATCAAAGGAACCTTTAAAATCCTGACACTTATCTGGATAGTCTGTATTCCTATCACTGACTTTCAAACAAGATCTAGGAACAAGCTGATGATGTACAAGGTGCAACTGGCAGAGATGCTCTTCTAGATTTCAGCAAAAGTACAGACAGAAATGAGGATGCAAATGCATCTGAGAAAACTGTGACAGTCTTCGTGATACCTTAGAAAGAAAGGAATTAGGCAAGCCAGAAAAACACTGTGCAATTCAAGAACACAAACTAATAAAAACCCAGAAAATCAGTAGCTAGAGCTCATGAGAAACAGGCTTAAAGCAGCAGGGAGTTCAGGAAGCTGCCAACAGTTAATGAAACAGCATTAACAGATGAACACCACAAGTTACTGCAGTGAAGGGGAAGGGAAGGACATAGAATGAGAGATCTGTCTCCCTCTTCAGAGGGCCTGAACTCTCTTCTTGAGGAATTTTCTAAGGACAAGCATGATGGCACAGGTAAGAAATCAAAAGTCCAAAGCACAAAATTAAACACCTAGAAGGAAACACACAATATGACACAAAAACCCATGGCTGATAGTCATTGGAAGACAAAGCTATCACCATGTGGCATTAAGAAGGCTGGAATATTTGATGCCTTAATTGCTTCAGGTCTTCACTGACACGGACAATTGCAGTCAGACGGCTGACAGAATTAATATTGGTGTGTTGGGTTTTTTTTAAAAAAAAGGAAACCAAAGTTTAGCAAGTTATAAAAAAACGGGATGCAGTAAAGGAAAACAAACTTGAAAGCAGGGAGATAAGGCAGTTATTTCTAAGTCAGCTGGCCCTGATAAATCTAGGTACTAGGTTACAACACTGACAATCACAAAGCACGAAAGTACTTGAAAAACGGGCAATGCACTTGAAGATTTGAAAAGGGCAAAGCAAGCATTCATGCTTAAAGAATAGGAAGAGCAGGACTTGGATAATTATGAAAGTGCTTCCCCCCCCCTCCCCCCCCCCACCCCCCCAGGTACAGAAGACTGGAACAAATAATCAAATTACTTGCAAAACTTCTAGAACATAAAAAGGAGAGAAATAACAGCAAGGAAGGTTTCATCAAGAGTAGAACTGTGACAAATGCATTTAACTTCCTTCTATGACAAGGTAAATTAGTCTTAGGGGTAGGAGAAGAACAGTAGAAGTTTTATATCCTAAGGTCTGGATGAAACTGCTTACATAGATGCAAACACCCTGGAAAAATTTACACTCAAGGTAGCCAAACTCAACGAATGTATCAAGCAGTACCCCTCAGGCAGCTCTGGTAGCACACAGGCTGACAGCTCGGGTACTACACAACCTTTTCACACACAACTCGAAGGATTTCTAGGCATAACAGGTTAGGAAGAGACAGACAGCAATGTGCTTAAGGACCGAGAAAAACTATTCTGTAAGAACAAGTGCAAAGCCATATTCAGTTTGTAATCCAACACAAATTAGGCTAGGCACTTCTTCAGAAGGAGCCTCAGCTCGAGAAAGGATAAGAGGCTAACTATGCACCAGTGTTAGTCTGCGATAAAAAGGCTCCATCACAGCAGGACACCTGATATCTTGGGATATCTTGGGATATCAGGATTACAGCCCAGGGAACAAAGCCCTCGCTGCTCTGTAGTGCACATGAGCAGGCTTTCAGCTGGGTTTCTGCAGTCAGCTTTGAACTGCACTTCAGGAAAAACAAAGAAAGTAAAAAAAAAAAAAAAAGGCTGATTAAAGAGTGCCTAAACCAGAATTTCACAAGAAAAGGCTAAAAGAAAAAGCATCATTTCATGAAGATGAGAGGTGCAAGTGGGGCTTCATCCTCTCTCTGCAGCAGTCCTTCACTATCCCAGAGAGGAAGGGAATCAGTTCTGTTCCTGTACTCCTCATCCTAAATTGTGAGGAATGAATTTATGCAGCAGAAAAAAGATCTGGAGCAGGGCTCAGGAAAATTTGGACAGTACAGAGAGCTAAGCCCTGGAGCAGGCTGGAAAGCTCCATCTCTTACACACACACACACACACACACACACACACACACACACACACACATATACATATATATGGGGGGGGGGGTTTAAGGGAATTTTGGATCAATAGTGGCTAGCAGTGGGCAAGGCAAAGGATGTCATTACGTTCTGCTGTAATAACTAAACCCGTGTTTCTGCAAGTTGTCTCAAAGCATGTCTTCCTCCCAGTTCAGCAGAAACACAAAGATTGATGCTGAACCACCTCAGGAACCCTGAACTCTCTCAGAAAAGAAAGAAAAGAGAGAAAGCCAGGAAGAGGCATCACCGAACCTCTTGTCCTTTCTATTATGTTTGTGCACTCGTTTTCCATAAGGCACAGACCTGAACTGCTTTGTTTGCATGCTGTACAAAGCCACAACAGAAGATCCTTTTCTTCTTAGATTCTAATGTTGTTCATAATTTTGCTTCCTATGTCACACTGACAGATTTGACCCAAATCCATTCTGCCCAGAGGTGAAGGAACACACCTTTTAGATGGGAAAGAATTTACAATCCAGATGAGACGAGGGAAAAAAATTATTTCTGCTAGGGTGCTTTGAGAGGTACTGTAAAATAATTTCTGATAAAAACAAAACAAGCGAGTTATAGAAGAAAGTAGTATCTCTAAATAAAATGTATTAACTCTGCACTTTGGATAGTAGGCAATAGTTTATCATCTATAGAATATGAACACCATATGTTATCTTTCTGTGGGCATACAGATGGATGAAAGCATAAGAGTTTTGGTTTTTTAAAATAATCAACTTTTGGGGACTTAATCACTGTTTTCTAAAACAAGAGTGTTTATACTGTTGAAGAAAATGTCACAACCTTTTCCTTTTGACTTCCCAAATCAAGATTGTTTATTTTTAAACCTTACTTTCATGAGATGGAAATACCAGAACTTACTATACACCCACTTTCAATTAGTATATGTAAAAATATTTGATGTAAAGTTTCCCAAGGAACATTTTCACACGACAAATAATACAGATAACTCCTACTAAGCTAACAAGCTATCCTCAAGTTGCCTTGAGAAAGTCTTCATTTTGAACAGTTTAATACAAACCATTCAGTCTCACACATTATTATTACTATTTACAAATCCAGAGCTAATTCCTCTGCTTCTGCCCCTTTTCTGATATTAATCTCTACTTCCACACAGTGAAGTTCAAAACGTTTGGCAGAATTAGATAGCACTAAGACCTTCACAACATGTTGCAGTCCCATACAACACATTTGATTAAATTTTTGCCTTCAAAACTTAAAAATTTTAAGAGGTGTCTTACAAGGAAGAAGAAATGAAACCTTCAGCCACAGGTCTAAAACCCAGGTAGCACAAACAAGTGAAGCAGTACTCCATCCTACCTCCTGAAGCCGCAGTCGAACTTTGCTAATGGCTCTAATCCAATGGGCTCTCGCTGGAGGAAATGGTGGTGGCTCGTTGTCACCCTGGTAGCTTAAAGGCAAGAAACAGAACATCACTACAGGAAAAACACTAATCTGTAGCATTAGAGATTTGACATTACACAACGTAATCACAGCTTCAGCTCTGGAAGATGAAGGAACCAACAGACTCCTGGCAAACACAGCCCTGAACATACTCTGAGAAGTGAAAAGCTAAAGCAGAGGTTTCCTTATACATCAGAACAGTCAGAGAAACTGATGAACTTAGCTTGGAGAAGAGGAGACTGAGGGGTGACCTCATTAATGTTTATGAATTTGTAAAGGGCGAGCGTCAGGAGGAAGGAGCCAGGCTCTTCTCTGTGATGTCCAATGACAGGACAAGGGGCAATGGGAGCAACCTGGAGCATAGGAGGTTCCATGTGAACATGAGGAAAAACTTTTTCACTGTGAGGGTGACAGAGCACTGACCAGGCTGCCCAGAGAGGTTGTGGAGTCTCCTTCTCTGGAGACATTCAAGACCCGCCTGGACGCGTTCCTGTGTGACCTGGTCTAGGTGATCCTGCTCTGGCAGGGGGGTTGGACTGGATGATCTCCAGAGGTCCCTTCCAACTCCTAACATTCTGTGATTCTGTGAACTAGAAGATATAAGCCAGGATCGATACAATCCAGCCCCAGGAGTAAGATGCTGTTGGTCAGAACATCAGGAAAACAGTCCCAGATCCAGCCAGTTCAACACACTGGCACCATAAATGCACACACAAAGAGGAAGATGGAATATTTTCCATCTCCATGCCTGTTGCAGGTTCCTTCTAACCCCTGTCTCTTGCCGCTCACCTCTACTGCTACAAATTTACAGATCCTCCTTTGTGGAAACACTGGCAAGAAGGTTCCACTGTGTTTTTCCCCATTCACTGCACCTTTCTCACTCCACCCTTGCCTATAGATTTTCAAAAGGGCACATGCATCTGGCAGCACTGCTCCATCTCAGCGCCTCATAGCATATTTCACACTCCATAACCTCATGATATGTTGGGCCTTTGGCTGCATTCTTTCTTTTGTACATTGTTGAGGTGTCGGTCACAGGCACAAACATCTTCCCCTCTCTGCAAAGCACCAGGCGCTCCTGACAGTATAAGAAAACCCCATAGCCAGTGATGCAGGAGCATCCAGGTTAGAAGTCTAAATCAGCCTGAAATAGACTATGTGAATAACCTTCCCTGTGAACAAATATAGGCCATCCATTCTGGGACAAGACTCCTGCTGCTCTGTAAGAAGAGGAGGAAAGTGAGTCAGAGTTTAAAAAGAGTTTAATGCTTTTTCTGGTCTTGTTTTCCTTTTTTACGTCTTTAGTGAAAGTGTTGCCTACACATGAACTGCTACAGTTAACCCTCTCATATAAGCATGGTGACACCAGCTATACCCTCCAATGGGTACAGACAGGCAGACATCTTTCCATGGGTCTAACTGAATGAGATTAAAACAGTCACTCATACTTACGAAAGTGTAACCATACCCAGACGAGGGGCTGCACTGACTTGATTACCTCAGGGAAAAAAAGTCACTCCCAAAGTTAAGTAGTGAAATTTTAAATTCCTGTAAAACCTGTACAAAACCAGCACATTACTCCCCCAAACTTAGCTGAAGTACTTTTGAAGACTGTTTTCAATACTGCTGACAGCTTGGAAAGCCCAAGTGCAAGGACAAGAAAAGCTGTCACAGTGATTCAGAGCAACATGTCTATTCATATTGTAATTCTACAACCTACAACTACATAAACACTAACTCTAATCGTGGTAGCCTACTACACAAGCTAGGAACTAGTGCAGCTCTAACCATGACTACATGTAGCTCTTGGTTGCTCACATGCACACTTGATCACACACAAGCAATGAAGACCACTATCTTTGGGCCAGGCTATATTCATTAAACCAGAAACAGAAAATACAGCAAATGAACTTCAGGACACTAGTAGGTGTTCCTCTTTACATATATAGATAACATAGCTTAAGCTTAGATAATGTCTCATAAATAACTGGTCCTGCACATAAAGTGGTTTCACAGGTAAGCAACATCAAGTGAGCTGTTGGAGAAGGCTGCAAGAACAATGCAATTGCCCCAAGACATAGCAAAAAGGAGGAATCCCCTTTGAATCAGATGAAAAGAACTCAATAATAGTTTCACTTACCTCACTTGGGCTCCTGGATCAACATCCTTGGGCTTCTCAACTTCCAGAGGCAACTTAGCTGCAGAACGGTCTGGGTGTTTCTCCTCTGCCTCACAGACCTTCTCCTCCTCTCCTTTGCTGCAAGGCTCCTCTTGCTCCCTCAGCCATGTCTGACCATCCTTCTGGTAGCTGCCCGAACTGTGGTAGGAATGAATCGACTCTCTTTCCTGCTTATCGTCTTCTTGCTCAGAGCCAGATCGTCTTCTTGCTCAGAGCCATGGGCACTTTCATGGGAATGGTCCAGCTCACTTAGGTGAGAGCTTCCCTGGCTGACATTACAAGAGGAGCCGTATCTACTACTGCCAGCAGGACTATGAGAGAATAAGAAAGTCCATCAGAAAAAAAACCCAGTGGCTTGGAGAAACACAAAGCAATCTGCACATCTAAAACTGAGTAGGCCACTAAATACTGCTAAAAAGACATGTT